TTTAGGGTTTAGGGTTTAAGGATCGAAGGGTTTAGGGTTTAGGGTTTAAGGATCTAAGGTTTAGGGTTTAGGGTTTAAGGATCTAAGGTTTAGGGTTTAGGCTTTAAGGATCTAAGGTTTAGGGTTTAGGGTTTAAGGATCTAAGGTTTAGGGTTTAGGGTTTAAGGATCTAAGGTTTGCGGTTTAGGGTTTAAGGATCTAAGGTCTAGGGTTTAGGGTTTAAGGATCTAAGGTTTGCGGTTTGAGGTCCAAGGACGGCATGTGGGTTTAAGAACACTTGGTGTGTGTAGGATTTGGATTTCAGGCTTAGGGGTTTTGGTGCTTTAAGGGCTTACATTTCAGGTTCAGGGTTTAGGGTTTCAAGCTAAAGTTTTTTGGCTAGGGGCTTGTTATAAGATTTAGGCCTTGGAATCAACCTTGCATGGATCCTGGATTTCAGGTTCAGGGTTTGGGGTTGCCAAGCCGCAGGTCTGGGGGTGTAGGCTTTGTATGCAATTAGGGTTTAGGGGTTCAGGGTTCTAGGGTTAAGGGTTTAGGAGTTCAGTGTGCAAGTTTTATGGACCTCGGGAGTTGACGTTGGCAGGGCGACTGCTTTGAATTCTTTTGAGACTTAGATTCCAGGATTGTGGATTGGTGCGCACTTTTTTTGGTATTGTTTACAAAGCTGTTGAAGCCGTTCAAGACTGGTGGACAAATCTCCTGTGGTAGGGGTTTGCGGGGGCGTACCTGCCCATCGGCCAAACCTCAAAGATTGAAATGTGCAAGGATTCTTCGAACTCTGAACCCTCTGTCTTTACAAGCGCGCTGTAGCGCTTACTGCTATTGTAGCCAGATTGGTAATGTGGATCCATAAAAGGGGTCCCTTTGTAGTGGTAGCAAATCGTGGCTAGGGGTGATAATTCTGGGTCCTACTGTTGTATTTGAAGCAGCTGAAGAGGCTCTTCGTGCTTTGCTGTGTGTGTTTTTTAAGCATCCATAGCAGACTCTATACATTTGGGGGACATACTCATTTTTAGGGCGTGTGTTTGATTCTAGGGCCTCCGAACTGAGGATCAGAAAATCTGCATGCATCAGCTATAATGTGAGGGCGTGCAAATAAAGAAACGACCCGCTTTTAGAAGCCGCCGTATGATATCCGTGTGTCGATGATTCCCTCCGGATTCCCAGACCCTAAACCCCAAACCCTAACCTCCAACTACCCTCACTTACAGGACCCCATAGCCCCCTACTCGATGACACTTGGACTTTCTTGGTTTGCCTTTGATGGCGCTTGATGCTACGAAACTTAAATAGGGGTTTCCCAAAATTTGGGTGACCTTGTTCGGGGTCCCTTGTATAAGGATTGTAGTATTTTGGGGTCTATTTAGGGAAACTATCAAATCATGCTGACAAAAATGGCTACGTTATCAATTACATGGTTCCCTCATGGCAGTGACATGTTTGAAGTTCCTCCAGAGTCCCTGCCCTAAACCCTAAACCCGAAACCGCGTAGCCAAGGTTCTGAATGTCCACCTGTTCATGGCTCCGGACTTCGATGGCACGGAGCCTGCAAAGAAGATCAAGAACCGCATGGAGCTTTGCACATGTTGCGAAGCAACCCTTTTGGTGAGTTTTCTCAGGGTGGTTGTCCCTAGAAGCCCAGTTACCTATATATTGGGTTCCTGTCCTTAAGTCCCTATAGGATTTTATATTATCTGTAACCCAAGGACCTACTATATGGGTACCTGGGCTTCTAGGTTGTCATTGGCCCTGAATCCTGCATTGCGTTCGGCTCCATGAGGAGACTGGAGCCGCCCCAAGCAGGGCCACAAGGTCTTCTCAAAGACTTAAAAGCATAGGTTTCCCAAAATTTGGGTGACCTTTTTCGGGGTCCCTTTTATATGGATTGTAGTATTTTGGGGTCTATTTAGGGATGTCCCAAATATGTGAGGTCCTTGAAGCTTCCTTGCATAATTTCTGGAGGATCCGGGCCATACTCGGAAATTCCTCCAGTGCATTTGGGGGCACCTTTGCTTTGTGACTTAGGCCAAGCTTGGTGAGTTCTTTGCGAACAGGGATATGGACAACATACTGGCGGTACTCCCGGACTTCATGTACCCCACAGGCGGTGCCGAGGGGGTAGAGGCCGGGGGGAGTTGCTAAAGATCTTCGGCGTGATGTCCTTGGGAGGGACTTTTTCAATCGCTTGAGATGCGCCAGGTTACCCCTAATGGTCGCGCAAAAATGCACGTTTATCCCTTGGTTGTCGAGGGTCCTCCAGTTTGGAGACCGCGGCGCCCCCGAGCAGAAACAGGTAGACAACAATTACATCATGGTCATATGAGCTATCTTCTAAACTCCTTAAAGGGGGATTGTCTAGGTGATTGTATAACGGAGTATTATAGGGGCTAGGAGGATACTAGGAGTGTAGGCTATAGCTCAGATTTATCATATTTCCACTTATTTATAGTTAACCCGATTGCAGACGGATACTGGGTGGGGACACCACTTCCTGGATTCTTCCTACAAAGCTTCGCAGGAAACTGGAGAAGTAGCAGGCTCTTGTGCAAAAAGGCCATGTCGCCTTAAAGTATCTACTGGGACCCCAAAGTATTGACATGTATTGACTATGTTTGGGGTTTAGGGTTTAGGGACCCTTTGGGTCCTAAGTTTATACTGCATGTACCTATATCGCTCAGTACAAAAGGTCCAGAACAAGGGCAGGCGCACATCCCGATCCAGACCCCGA